AAAAAAAACCAGAATTATCTTTTGGAGAGCAGTCCCCTTGTAGTATACTCAGAATTTGTTCCTCCTGATCAAACGGTCAACCAAAGTTTTATCTGGAAGTTTTTAGAAGGTTGTGTCATGATTTGCAGAAGAAATTTCCTGATTTGTAGCAAACAGGTGACTGGTTCTTCCACCATGACAATGCACCTGCCTACACCACATTGAGTGTCCAGCAGTTTTGGACCAAAAATGGCATGTCCCCTGTGCCCCACCCTCCCTATTCACTGGATGTCACCCCTTGTGACTTTTTTCCCCTGATGAAAGTTTCCTAGTGTAGAAGAGGTAAAACAGCAGAAGCACAAAAAGGCATCAAAATTGACAAGTTCAAAAACTGTTTTGAGCAATGGAAAAAGCATCTTGATAGGTGTATTGCATCAAACAGAAAGTACTTTGAAGGTGACTAAAGTTTAAACATGCTAGAATAAGTGCACAGTTTTTTAAACAAATAAATTCCAAGTTTTTGGGGATGCCCCCTCATACACTTCACTTAATGTGGGCCATTTTTTTTTCCATATTTTGAGAAGCAATCCTAGCAATGACTTCACATCATCTCCTGGGGTCTTTGCCAGGGTGTTAAATTCTATATCCTGGCAAGGCACTTCATATCAACTCATTCTTCTGTATTCAATATTATATTACATCCCTCCTGATCAAGGTCCTCAAAATTCAGTCCCATGCTTACTCCCTCAGCATCTGCTAATACATGCTGGCTAAGTCAGATCCTGAAACTCCTTGTTGGTGTACTCCATTTCTTTCCTTATTAGGCCTAGTACGTCACCAGTTAAGTTATGCTGTGGCTTAACCTTAGTTATAAGCCTAGTGGCCAGGATGGTATGTGGAGATAGATTCCTAGGGAAAACCCTCTTATCTTACAGGACAAAGCAAGGTAGAATGCCAGCCTTTAACAAGAAGGAGTGGGACACTTCTAAATGCTCAAAGGGTTCAAGGGAATCTGAAGACACAAGATTTTTAGCGATATCAATCCAGATGTCACCATCTCAAGTGTCAGGGTCTCATTCCTTCCTAATTAGGACTTTGGCCTTGGCATAGAACACTTGTCTTAATTAGAATTTTAAGTTTCTTGGACGCTAACTTTCAATAAGTCCTGGATCCGTTCCTCAGATTCCTCTCTCCTCTACCTGGAAAAGCTATGAATGAAGAAGCCCTATGACTTTCAAACATAGCTTTCAATCGTTGATTAATTTATTTCAGGTTTTTATTATTCTTTTCTAGAGGTCAATCAAGCTTAGCAATAGCCACCTCATTTTTTGGTCTTCCTTATATTTAATATTTTTCACATATTTCTCAAAGGTCTGTTACATGGCACTAATTAATATGTTCCCTTCCACCAGTATGCCACCCCAGTTGACTACCCAGTGAAAGCTTTAACAATTCCTCTGCCACCTTGTTCCGGAGGCCTATCTACTCCACCTATCACAATGATGGAGAGTCCTCCTTTCCAGCTGGGCAGTAGGTGATTCGTCTCCAAAATTTCATCACAACATTTACTTTCTTGATCCACTTCTTATACCAATTGTTGTATGTTGGCTTTCCGGGAAGCTGACTCAGAGACAAAGTTCAGCATGCAGGGTTTTTATTAGGGAATGTTCTTGGGATCAACACCTGTAGAAGGGAAAAGAAGGAAGCAGGATTGGACAGAGGGAGAAGTTAAGCTGTCCCAATGTATGATAAGAAGGCCATGTCCATCAGTACTTAGATGTGAAGTACTCCCAGGAAGGGAGTATGACCTTGGGGGAAGTGGCTCTCCTCAGCTGACGAAATTGCTGAAGAGGGCTGGCAGCTGAGGACTGTCTACTGGCAGCACTCCTAGCAACTGAAATAATAAACTCTTTATTCCTGAAGGAGAATCAGGGCAGGAAATGGCAGAATACGCCACAAGCAAGGTATCCTTTTTTTTTTTTACAGTAGAAAGTTGGTAGCCATTGAATATTAGAACTGAGAATAGTTTTATTTTTAAATAGTTAATAAGATTTAAATTTTCAAACATTAACAGCTTTATTTAAATAATTTTTAGGTAAAGTTTTAAATTATGCCTTCTAAGTATTTATATATAAATATGTTAGCCTCCATTTATGCTTTTGCTCCAGGCTCCTCAAATACTATTGACAGGCCTGCCTTGTCTGAAATCATCCTTATTCTTTTTGCTAAACTATGTGAGAAATCCCTGTTTATTATATAAATTTCATAAAATACAGATGAGCAAAAAACAAAATAAATCACCCACCAGTCTAACATCCATAGAAAGCTATTAACATTTTTGAAGTATGCACCATTTATACATAGAGATAATTCAGATACATACTTTTTCTTCATAAGAAACATGGCATGTGCTCTGAAAGCTGTTTTTCCTGCTTAAGGGTATATGCTGAAAAAAAAGCTTATATACCGAGCTTTTACTATAAGTATAGATGTCCATAAGCATTTTCAACAACTGCATAATATTTATTTATTTATTTTTAATTTATTTATTTTTATTTTATTTATTTTTTTTTTAACTTTTTTTTTTTTTTTGAAAAGACCTTACATTAACTGTAGCTAACACCAGCCTAAAAGAATGCAGCCCAGTCCAAAGTACGTGCTGGGCTCTCA